TTTAATAATAATAAATTATAATTAATTTAATTATCCTGATACTCATAATACAACCATATGTATTTCTGAGAGCTAACACAAAAATACTTTCTTGACCATAGCTAAAGTACAGGAGAGAAAACCTTTTAAGTTTGGTATTGGCAGGCCTGCCTATAACAGAAAAAATATCACTGTTGTGTTAGAATTTAGAAAGCTAAAGAGTATTGGTTTAAATACGTTTCCAAACTTATGTCATGTGATCTGTTGAACTGAATGGTGTATTTCTAACGTCTGTAAAAAATGCAATGGTCTCCAGAAAAACAAGAAGCATTTGTCTTCTGATTATTTGTGTGGGATGTAGGAGACCCAAGACACTGAGGTTTCTGCTTTGAGTCAGGCTTGGGACTTGACTTAGAGTCTCCTCACCTCAGGTGAGCACCGCTTACCTACTGTTCTGCCTATCAATGACTTGCTTGCTGTGAATAGAATTTCCACCCTGTAGCAAAGAAACCTTTTGATTTGGTTCTTATCAGTGCTAAGTGCTGAAACTTTCACCCAATTTTTGTTTAGCTGGTAGTGGTATTAGAACATTGCAAGGCAAACTGACTTTACAAAGACAAGAGAGTGTTTCACCTGGCACTCTAGTGCTGAAAGTCAGTGCTAAGATGGGTCACAGTGTTTTAGTCTGCGTTGCTGTATGATGGTGCAGTGTGTTTTCATAGCATATTTGATCCCACACCAAACTCCTCAAGAGAGTGGTTGTAAAAGATACTCAGTTCTTCCAGATTTGAAGATACACAGATTTCATGCTGAGTGATTTGTGCTGTTTCCTTCTCTGGAAACACAGGAAAGTCTATATGACTCCAAACAGTGTCACCATTGGTACTGTACTGTGGAAGTGGTGTGAATAAATAAATTATCAACCCAATTACTAAATAATGATTTCACTGTTTTTTCCTTGATTATCAGGAAGACTCTTGTAGTCAGAAAACTCACTGCATCTTAAAGTTCCATTGCAGCCTTTTTTATTGCTTTTGGAACATAATTAGCCAGCAAGCACTATGTAAACAGTGTACATCAGCATAGCTACCAATGTCAGAGAGGAAGGGCTTATTAGTGAAGCAAAGTAAACTTCATTTTAGCCTAACAAACCCATAGCCTTTTAAGGAGACTTACCTCAAGATCAACACTATACATTGCAGGAGTATTATGAGTCCAATACACAAGATCCTTCTAGTCATTCATAGTATCTTGGGGAACTAGAAAGTACTTAGGTGATCTGTGAAAAATTAAAGGCTAGCAATTCCTAACCGTATTCAAAATTGTATTGAATAGTAGTAGTAGTATCCTATAATCTTTTAGGGATATGTGTTTGCTAATGTAGATATGAACTCGCAGTACTACCTGTGTCTTAACTGCCGTTCTGGTAGCTGTCCAGTTCTGCCATATCCATATTTAATACTCTTCCATCTGTGACCTCTTAAAATCTAAAGATGGTATGTGAGGGAGCCTGATGATACTATGAGACATTATTACCATTCAATTCTGGGTACCAAATAGAGCAAGTTAAATTATGGCTCGCCACCTTAAGATCCTTACCTAAAAGCATCACCCAGATGAGTACAGTCCACTCTGGGCAGCATTTGCAATGGTGGTGAGGTGTGTAAAATCTTCCATTTAAAAAATTTATTTAGACTCCCAAGGTTAAAAAGACTGGACTAGTTGGAGTAATAGACTAAGAAAGATCGGAACAAGGCCTGTGTGGAGGAGGAAGGATGGGACAAAGCACAAACTTAATAAAAAGGGAAGGGAAAGGAGACCATCATTTCAAAAATTGCAGTTGCCTACAACCAATACACAGCAACAGTGAATGTGCAAGAGCCCATAAACTTTAAGTTAATTAGTTTCTTAGACACCATCACTTTCTGAGGGCAAGTTCCACCTGTTGTCAGTGCAGTATCTCAATCATGGGTTTTAATCTTCATTTCCTTACTTGTAGGTCTTATCAATGTCTGGATTATTCTGCTGGAAGAATTAACAACTGCCATATCCAACTGTCCCCGTCAGCACCAGCCTCCTACTTTGGATCTGCTCTTTGAATTGCTGAGGGATGTTGCTAAAACACCTGGTAATGAAAGGACTTTATAAAATGTGAACTAGTAGAGCCCTAACCCAAACCTCTTAGAATCCTAAAACACTTCTGTAAAGTGTTACCAGAGATGCACAGAGACATTCTCAAGTAGAAAGGGAGTTTCTTAGAGCATGATCTGTTTTCCAGTTAGTACATTGTTCTGTGCTGACTAAAGGCATCTTGCAGGAGTATGTTCAATGTACTTTTACATTTATTGCACAAATAAAGAGGTTCAGTACTCATATCAGTGTCCTAGCCACAGAGAACGTTTGTTTGACTGGTCCAGGAAATGGAAAAAGAAGATTATATAGTCCTGTAGACCTGTTGGGAATGACAGCAGGTAAACAGTAGGCTAAATGTTTATATATTACCTCACAACTAGATCTAAAATTCCTTACCCCCCCATCCTACACTAAAAGTTTCAGAACTGCTTTCTTTAGCATCACCTCTGTCCTTAAGCTTGGAACAACTTAGCAAATGTACTGTGCATGTAGGTTTTATAACCAAAAATATCCAACCATCATTGTGTTTGTTTTAAGGACCAGGATTTGGCATTTATGCAGTTGTACATCTTCTTCTTCCCACGATGTCTCTTTGGCTCCATCGCAGCCATGGTGACCATTCTTATTGGGATGTGGCATCTGCTAATTTCAAGCATGCCATTGGCCTTTCCTGTGAACTCGTAGTGGAGCACATTCAAAATTTCATACACTCAGGTATGTCATTGTACTGTCACATCTACTGAGAGACATCGGTGGCGTGTTACTGAAAAGATAATTGGGAAGATGGTTTCATTGCTTTTTCATTGTACAAGCATAAAATAAGGGGAAGAGGGTTGAAAATTTGTATTTTCTATCTTTCTTTATAAGGTTTAGAATTATGGAAAAAATTAACTTGCAAGGGACCTGTGGAAGTTTAGTCCAGCCTCCTGCTCAGAGCAGGGCTATCTTCAAAGTGAATCCATCACAGCTTGTATTATACTTTCCAAAAGAAAATACTACAGTTTTCATCATAGAGAACTAGAACATCAGAAACAGGATCTAACAAAATTTCTCCAGTAAGACTTAAGTCCAGACATTTTCTATTGTTAACATCAAAAGGACTTTTCCTATTTCAGGTTGATGTCATGCATGTTTCAAAATTGAACTCTAGTGACAGCTGCATAAAATTTGAGTTTGCAAAGCCTTTGGATAGCAGTAAGTGTAGCAAGAATGTTTAATTAAAATGAAAAGGCAATGATGTTAAAACCAGTCTGTCTTTTCCTTACAGATATTGGTTATGAAAATATGATCAATACTATGCTGAAAGATCTTTTCAAGTTGCTGGTAGCCTGTGTAGCAGAACCAACAGAAATTATTTCCAGAGTTGGTTGCTCATGTATCAGGTAACAGTGTGTTTGTTCTCTTAGCATATTCAAATAAAGATGTCTTTATATGTTTGAAGAACTTGTGGACTGATTAAGTTGGCTAACATCTCAAAAGAAGTCTACAGTGTATCTATGTCTTGTTATATGAATAATGAACTTTAGACTTACTAACCTTCCCTTGCTGTTTTCAGACTGCTTCAGAACCTGTGATTTTAAGCGTAACTATTGGTATGATTCCCATAAAAAGCACTTATACATTACTTATGTGCAGTTAGTAATTAATCCTTAGGAAAAATAATCAAGGGTCTTTCTGTTGGAATTCACAGATCCTTAGGGTAGTTAATACCTTTTACAGTCTTCAGATTATTACAGTCATAATCAAAATAAGCAGTGCATAGTATAATTACACAGCTTGTCCTGGCAAGCTGACTACTTAAAGAGGAAAAGCAAAGAGGGGGAAAAAAAAAAAAATTAAAAATACAGTGTAATTACAGAAATAGATCAGGGTAACAGCTAAGGAGACTGGGTAGCATTAGCTAGCTACTGAGTAGGCCTTGTGTTCTGCTTTCAACCTTCTCCCATTACAAGTAAAAATTGTCCTTCTTGAACATGGTACCTTTTCCTGTGTCTTTGCAGGTATGTGCTAGTGACAGCAGGGCCTGTTTTTACTGAAGAGATGTGGAGGCTTGCATGCTGTGCCTTGCAGGATGCATTCTCTGCCACGCTGGAGCCAGTAAAGGTAAACGGCCTTTTTGCAGTCAAAATGTAATTACACAGTTCCACTAACACACAGACTCACTAACTTTTGACAGGCTGCTTTTTCTTTTTCAGAAAAGTTTTTGGGTACAGAGCCAGGAAAAAAAAGCGTAAGGATTTTGTTATTTTGTCAATTCACAATGAAAGATGTTGGATAAACAATGGAGATTGAAATCAGTTTTTCTAAGCACATACAGACAATACTAGTGGCTAACGGTCCAGACTTATTTTAAATTGCCCTGGCAGTATGAAATCAGAAGAATTAAGTAGGTGAAAACTTACTTTTTGATCCATTTCTTCCTCTGAATTGACTAAAACTAGACAGAAGACAAAGTTGCTTACGTGGTCCTTTAGCTTCATTCTTTCCTATAGATTATTTCTTAACTCACTGTCTTTCTTGTAACAAAAAATCCTGTTAAGTCATCATCACAGGCCAGAGCACTCAAGAAGCTGTAATGCCTTTGCTTCAGACACATCAAATGCCAAATAGCAGGTGACCGGCTGGTGGCAATGGGACAGTTCACTCTGCACCTTATATTGCACACGAACAGGCTGGACAAGGCTACAGTCACTGACTTCATCTAACGCCCAGTGAAAGTCTGATGTTGTGTCTCTCTATAGAACCTGTTGGGCTATTTCCACAGTGGTTCTGAAAGCTTTAGTGGAGACGCCTGTGAAGTGAAGGTGGCCGCCCCCTCGCTCTCGCCGAGTGCTGAAGCTGAATACTGGAGAATCAGAGCAATGGCACAACAGGTACTGACTGGTGTTTTAGGGGGAGTCAGAACCTTTTACACTGGAGGCTTTTCTTTATGAAAGTACATACTTACCATCACCTTCCTCACAAACCCTACAGGCAAAGACTTCCTCATCACCGGAGTGACATTTATTTGTCTAAAAGTATTGAGAAAAAGTAATGAAGCTTCGGGAAAAAACTCATAAAACTGTCCCCTTGTAAGTAGGAATTAGGAACACCTGGGGCAGGGGAAGATGCACAGGTACCTGAGGACTGACAATGAGCCTATCGTGTAATGGAGTCTTAAAAACAGCAACCCTAGCATACACCAATTGAAACGTTTCTCCATGGGAAATGGAAAAAGTAGTGTCACTATGAATCCTCATCTAGAATTTTATATATATTTCTGGTTGTTAAAGAAGGATAAATTCAAAGGGAAAAAAAATGCACTAGAATGGAGGCTGTGATATGAAACTAGAATACCAAGATTTGTTCAACCTATCAAAGCACAGTTTGAAGAGGAATGCAGACTTTTTTTCTCTAGAAATACTTGGATATAGATTGCAGAGAAGAAAAAGAGTTACTGAGAACTAGAGGATAACGCTGACATTTAACAAATTATTTAAAATTCATGACCAATTCCTAATCAGCAGAGCAAGCTTGGAGACCTTTTCAGGGTCCTTTTGACTACAGTGGTGGTTATATGAAACAAGTTCCCTGAAATACAGCAGGCTGAACTTAATGACCTGCAGGGTACCATAAAACTCTAAATACTGTATGACAGTTTCAGCATGGGAAAGCAGATGGGTTAAAAGAGCCAACAGATGCTTGGTGTCAGTTTCTGACTTGATTAATCATACCCTGATGCTACCTGAAAATCTGAGACACAGACCTGGATTTGTGAACACAAAGAATGTGGCAATGGCAGACTTTGAATTGAAAAAAAAAATGTTTTAAATTAAATTTTAAAGATGCAGAGTTCAAGTTAACAGGGAATGCGGCATTTATACTTTGCTTGTAAACACTACCAGTGGCATTCCCTGAGTCTGTCTCAGTGGAGATTTGACACAGCTACTACAGTACAAAACAAAGTTGTAGCAACTGAGAGGTGTTTCCCCATTTCTCATGCAATAAATGGCAAGTCAGGTGTCTGTTGTATCTTCACAGCTGAAAATAATCCTTCCAACAATGCACCTTTCTAGGTGCAACACATTAACTATGCAAACAGGTCCTTTTCTCCACTAGCCATTTTATTCTCTGATAGTAGTATACAGACAGCAAAAATCTTGTTTTGGTTTTTGGTATTATGCCTTATACAAGTTCAAAGAAGAAGATACCTGTCCTTGGCCTTGTGCTCTGCTGGATGCCTGGATGTAGCCCATGGCTCTGAGGCTGTTTTGCCAAAGCAGCATGCTCCAGGGAAGGCCTGCCTGGGAGGGTACCTTGCATTCTCTCCATCACTGTAAAATCAGTCATTATAACAGACCTTTCACAGTGCAGGTTGCAGTCCTATTCTCAGGCCTCCCAAGGACTCAGTGCAAATGCTAAACTGTTTTATGTGACATTGTTTTCTAGGTCTTCATGCTGGAGACGCAGTGCTCCCCAAAGACCCCTAGCAACAAGGAAGGGTTTGAACATGCCCAGTCGTGCGTGCTCATCATCGACCTGCCACCAGATAAGAAACCAAACGGACATACCCAGAGAAGGTAAAATATCTTCTCAGGAAAATACTGTGTCATTAAAAGCAAGATAAACATATTGTCAGGCTGGCAGAGGTGTGACCCAGGCCTGGCAAACCACAGGTCTCATCAAAGAAATTAAATACACCGATCAAATAAAAATCAGGTTTTGTGACACGGGAGACAAGAGGTTACTACTGTCTGCTCTCCAGATGTTCCCATGATCCTACACTGGTGAGCAGGCACATGCAAGAGCTGTTATTATTATAGACAAGCCTGTGTCAGGGCCTATAACATTGCTCTTAGGAAAGCTAAATAAGAAAAACACTTCTAATAGAAAGTAAAAATTGCTAGGTTACAAATACCTGAATGATATGTGAGGTCACACAAAGCTTGCAAGTAGAGGAAATGCAGATTAGATTAAGAGAAGAATTCTTGTAGGAAATACTAGGAAGGTCTTTCCAATATTGAAATTCCTTTCTTTAAGAAGTAGAGTTATAAATATCTGTTTGAAGAAAGCTTTGGAAGTAATGTTATGATTGCAATGATATCTAGCAAATGAATTGATGTTTGTTTCATTAATGGTCTTTTAAATTCAGTATTACTTGATTAAGAAGGTGGAAAAAGTTAATGGATAAACTTCAGCAGTTATAAATTGAAGAGACCAAATCTGAAGCTGTGAAACTGTCAACACACTGATCTAAGGGACATTGCTTTTGCTTGGTGCTTTATTTTTGTAGAAGTCCTCCTATATGTTACCACCTCAAACTCGTGCATTTGCATGACAATTTGATCCTATCAAAGAATATTTCTTTTTGCTTGCACTCGGTTGTTTAAACAACTGCTGTAACATCAATAGGGCCAAGAATTAGCATTCTGCATTCAGGGTTTGTGTTTGTCTTGCAAGGTCTGTAATATGTGGCATGGAATTGTCTTTTACTAGATACCAAACCTGCTTCTGTACCACTTCACGCATTCTCATTCAAAACTAAGCTAGTGCTTGCAACAAGGAGCTAGAATGTGCTGGTCCTTCTGTGGATGGACAGGAAGAAAGACCATGCAAGTTGTGTCCATTCTTACACAGCTGTACAGAAGTTTCCCCCAAGAGCAGGTGCTCTGTTGCCTCGGCTTCAGAGAACAGGGCCCTGCGCAGAGGCGAAGAAGGGCTGAGGTCACAGGCTAAACTCTTCCTTCATGGTGGGAAAACACCTGCCTTGTCCAAAGGTTTGCAGAAAGTTCTTGTTATAATGAATGCAAAGCAAAAGACTGGAGTTCTGCACTCCCATGGCACATAAGGTCACACAATCTAACAGTCTGCATTCGTACAGGTGGTATGGGTCTTGCTTCTCTTTCAAGAAATAAATTTTAAAAGCTTGCAACTAATACAAACTCTGAATGCTCTCACACTGCTCTTTGTCTAAACAACCGCAAAAATTATATCTGTCAGTAGGCAAATATTACCCCAGCAATGCTCATTTTTCACCAAAACAGGGCTCAAAAGTTGACTGTGCCACTGTTTTTTGATATTATTTGCTACAGCAGTGGGGTAATATGCCAGTCGTGCATGCTAGTAACTGTGGCCTTTCAAAAGTTTTACTTTAACCTTAGTGGGGTTTCTCTTCTCCCTTTTTGCTTTTGTTTCCTAATGCTGCATCGTTTCACAGGAAGCTGGGGTAAGGAAGCTTTTCTTCTTCCTAAGAAGTAATAATATATTTCATTTTGAAACTTTGCGCAGAATAAGAAAATACTATCCTTAACCAGCTTTGCCACTGTGTGTTTTCACCTATAGTTCTGTACAAGTTTCTTTTGGAATTGAGTAGTACTTTAAACTGTCCTTGTAAATTGCCTTTTTTGGCTATTACAAGGAAAGCAGATCTCCTTCACTCTGGTCCTGGTTTTGAAACAGGATTAGTCTCCTGAAATCAATGCAAGCTCTCATTTAGCTTGCTCTTAAGAGCTTTTGTGAGTCAGCCTCTAATGATTTTTACAACAGAAAACTACTTTCCTGAAGAGCTCCAATATGCGTATTATCAAGATTTGAGCACTGTCAGATAAGATGACTAAATTTTACTGATGTATCAGCACTGACATGATAAGCAAACTGGCATAGGTAAATTGACCTGAGAAGCACAGTTTTGTCTGACCATTTTTTATTTTAAATGTTCTATTCTCAAAACTCAGTTTTGATATGATTTCTCAAAAAAAAAAGATACTTTTTTGGGTTGGGATTTTGATAACACTTTTGAAAGTTGTTTAATGAAAGTAGAATAATATTTGCCACAAAAAAAAAAAATATTAAAGGTCTACAACTGAACATCTCATGTTACATGAAGATTTATTGTGACTTAGACCTAAAAGTTCAGTATTGCAAGCAAACTGAAAAATTTCATCCTTGCTTGATAGTAATGCTACTTAAATTGTGACCCAGCATAGTTCCCTGAACCAAAACAGGTCATACTATCTGTACCAGAGCATCAGCTCCGTTTAAAACATGGCTGCTGTAATCTTACGCAAGGACTTTTTTTTAAATGCCTTACAATAGATTTCACAGTTTATATTTTTAAATCCATGAGATACTGAACAACAATCCCACTCACCCTTCCTTCCTGAAAACTTTTGTTGGAGGAATTTGCCATTCCTAGGTTCCCTGTGGAAATCAAAAATCAGTGAGATACAGAACTCCTCACAGCATCTCTCTGGCAGGAACACAGCTAAGAATCACACAGTACTGTATGTGGGGAAAAGGGTTAGGAATAAATATTGCCATGCTAGGCTCTCAGTCTTCAAGCTGAAGTCTTAAGAGCAAACGGTGGCATGTGCCTTCTGCAAGACTTGAGCTTCTTTGCATGCTCCATTGCACTGCTGATGTTTCTGTAGATGTTTGTTTATTGGTTGATCAGTTGGCTCTTTCTTTGTGTTTTATTTTTAAGAAGTACTCCTAGCATTAGTGGAAATGGAAATCGAACAGTAAACTAGTTTTGGCCTCAATTTGTCATGGCAAAGTTAAGGTTGGTTGAAATGCCAATGGATGAATTTTAAAGATAGTTCAACTTATCCAAAGTTCATCAACAAAATCAGGAAATGTAGTCAGGGACCAATGGCAGAAGCGCTGCATAACTTCTGTGTTAACAAATTTCTCTGTCATAGCAGCTGAAATATTGAGAGTATTTGCAGCTGGCATGAAATTGAAACACAGAATATTTAATCCATCAGTGTTGGACTTCTCTGGAGAAAAGGGCAAAAATTATAATCAGGCTTTGTCTTAATATCATGTCTGCACAAGTGTCATTAGCGTGCTTGCTGTTGATATGTATGTGTCTTCCCTTCTAGGAAAGTATTTGAAAGAGTAGCTGAAAGACCATTCTAAACAACTTTATCTTCCTCCTCTTTTTGTATCAAGGCTGTGAAAATTTGGCCTTGCATTTCATATTAGATTCTAAAATATGAAATATTCCTGTACAGGAGTACAGCACAATGCACCATTTAAATTTTTCTTTTTTTTCTTCCCTTCCCATGTTTGATTTACCAAGTATTCCCTTCAGGACAATAGTGGTGAGCTTGCTGTCCCACCAAGTACTGCTCCAGAATTTATATGACATCTTACTGGAAGAATTTGTGAAAGGCCCTTCTAACTCAGAGGAGAAAATGACAATACAAGTGCCAGAACACAAGTTGGCTGGTTTTCTCAGGTACATCTCCATGCAAAACCTGGCTGTCATCTTTGACTTACTGCTGGATTCCTATAGAACAGCCAGAGAGTTTGACACCAGACCTGGGTTGAAGTGTTTGCTGAAGAAAGTGTCTGGCATTAGTGGAGCTGCCAACTTGTATCGCCAGTCAGCGATGAGCTTCAACATCTACTTCCATGCTTTGATTTGTGCAATTCTGACAAACCAGGAGAACATCACTGCAGAGCAAGTGAAAAAGATACTCTTTGAAGATGATGAAAGAAGCACAGACTCATCACAGCAGTGTTCTTCAGAAGATGAAGACATTTTTGAAGAAACTGCCCAGGTCAGCCCTCCCCGAGGGAAGGAGAAGAGACAGTGGAGGGCTCGAATACCATCCCTGAGCGTACAGCCCATCAGCAACGCGGACTGGGGATGGCTCATCAAGCGGCTTCATAAGCTCTGTATGGAGCTGTGCAACAACTATATCCAGATGCATCTAGACCTGGAGAATAACGTAGAGGAACCTCCAGTGTTCAAAGGTGACCCTTTCTTCGTTTTGCCTTCCTTTTACTCAGAAACCTCCACCCCATCGACTGGAGGGCAGTCTGGGAAGGACACACCATCAGAAGATGACCGGAGTCAAATCAGGGACCAACTGGGAGACAGCCTGACACCTCGGGGAGGGAGTGGAGAAATGTTGCCGATACCCCCACCCCTAAGCCCTAAACCAGAGAAAAAAGAGCAAACCAGGAAAAAAGAATGGTGGGAGAGTGCTGGCAACAAGATCTACACCATAGCCGCTGACAGAACTATCTCCAAGCTCATGACAGAGTACAAGAAAAGAAAGCAGCAACAGGCCATGACATCCTTCACCAAAGAGGTCAAAGTGGAAAAGAAAGGGGATCTCCTGGGTTCAAGAGGGCCAGACTCACCCATACTCCAGCGGCCACAACATCTTATAGATCAAGGTCAAATGAGGCATTCGTACAGTGCTGGTCCAGAGATCCTGAGACAAGAGAAGAGACCACGCTCAGGATCCACAGTCAGCTCCCTGAATATATCTGTTAGGGATGCTGAGGCCCAGATACAGGTAGGAGGTACTTGCAGAAGGCTAAAAATATTAGCAATAATTAAAAAGACACCTACGTTTTTCCCTGTTGTTTTTATTGTAATGATTGTAATTCTTCATTAGATGTTTTCATTACATAAAGAAGTCTTCATGATGAGAACTGAATATTTCAGCAGCTGGCACTGATAAAAAACCTGATTCTGTCCTATCAAAGGAAAATCAGTCTTCAGGGAAGTGTTGTTAGGCACAGTAGAAAGCTGGTAGAGCTTTCGGGAGTGCTTCTGTGACTGGGACCAAAGCTGCACTTATCCCCCAGAGCTAAAGACCTACAGTGAACTTGTTGCTCACTGCCCTGGGCTTGAGCCCACTTCAGGCTTTTGAAAGCTTTTGTTCTTAAGGGTTTTTTGTTAATTACACAGCAGAAATAGATGGCTCTGTTGTTCAACAGAAACTTGCCGCTTGCGTGACCAAGGGAACGGATCAGTGAAAGCATCAAACTTGAAAGTCTTTGTTCAGTGTGGGGTGAAATAAGAGGCAATGAAGGGTGAATGTGATACCTGCAGTACAAAGTCAATTACTTCAATGTGAGTTAGGAAGACATAGTGAACATTAAACGAATATGCTGTATTAAATTAATTACTCAGTGCTCGTCATGAGGCTGCAACCACTAGATATCTTGTTTTCTTCCTCAACCAATGGGCTTATCTATTTAGGAAGGTCTTTTAAAGAGTCTTTTTTTGTATCTATTTTTTTTGTAGGCATGGACCAACATGATACTGACAGTTCTCAACCAGATTCAGACCCTGCCAGACCAAACTTTCACAGCCCTGCAGCCTGCAGTGTTCCCCTGCATCAGCCAGCTGACCTGCCACGTGACAGACATCCGTGTCCGCCAGGCAGTGCGGGAGTGGCTGGGAAGAGTGGGGCGAGTTTACGATATCATCGTTTAAATCTAGCTGTGCCCTGCAGCAAAGGGGACAAGGTATCCAAGGTATACAGTATTGGTGGTTCATAATTGCCTATTTGTTGGTGATAAATTAAGAAACAATGAGCTTATCGATGCATATCCTCTTGAGATTGTGTGTTCCTTGCTCACACTAGCAAAGGAGGCAAAGCATGCGTATGTCCAGTGGGGTCTGGAATAGCCCCAGAATCTGCCAGTAAATCAGGCTGGTACCTAAAAGGGTGATACATTTCAGTAGCCTTCATTTTAATCCAAATTTGCAACAGTGGGAGCCACAATAAACTGCAGCAGAACTTCCACACTTGCAATTAGCTGTGAACGCAACTGTCATCTGGATATCAAACGAGACCAGTAAACCTAGGTAACTTTAAAAAAAAAAATAAAAATAAAAGCCAGGGAAAAGGTGGGGCTACAAGACAAGTAAAAAGGTGACACTTGTTTAAGGTAACTATTTCCTCTCTGAAATGCGTATGAGAGAGGAAAGCCAAATAAAGATTATTGTAGTAACTATACGCCTCACTCTCTAGTGAAAGTGGAAATTTATTCTGCTTTAAGAAAAGCCTTTTGAAGTCTGGTCACATTTGGGGTAGCTAATAAATGACTATCAGAGTATACCAGGCCTGAAACTGGTGAACCAAGCACAGACTATTCATCCTTCCATTGCTCTTGTGGAGTGTTGCTTGAGGAGAAACGGCACTGTCAAGCTGCCCTCTCTACACCACTACCCTGGCTGCCTCTTGAGCTATGCCTATATTTGATCATTTCTCCATGTTTCATTCCCCAAAAAAGCAACAGGGAAATTCATTTTGCTGTTTCCTGTGTAGCTGGGGGGAAGACAGACCACAGAGAAATACTGGCACATGTCAATATCCAGCATTCAGCTAAACAAAGCAGAGATAAAGTGTTCCAGCTGGAGCAACACTGCAGCTAATTTAGCTTATGCTTCTACTGGAAATTTACTTACATAGAGCTACTGTAGCCAGGAACCCCCTTTATAGCTTTGTTCAGCTTAGCCTATCACTCCACATTGAGCTGAATCAAGATGGAAAATGGTCTGAAAGGATGGTATCTTTCCTGTTTCTCTTCCATTTTTTGTCTACAAGCTGTAAACAGAAGGGGCCAGATCCTCATGGAGGTGCATTCTCTATGCAGCATTCCTATAGGGACTGCTAGAGTTTGCTGGTATTATTAAGGGGGAGGAGAAGGGGAAGGATTGACTATTGCATTGTCAAATACATACATGATGCTCTTCACACTAGGTGCAGCAAAGGATTTACTTTGCTGCACAAGTTATGTCACAGCCCCTGGAACATTCCATCTAATACTCCTATACTACATAATTTGTTGATCAGAAGTTGAAATAATCTGTTGAAAATAAGTTTATTTTAACCTTGGGTGACCCCTTAATGATCCTCTTCCAAGGCTTCTTAAACGTGCACACCAACTAAATATACAGCTTCAGTTCTCTACTCTAAAGCATCCTCAAAATGGCATCTCTTTATGTCAGGCCTGGATTTTGCACAACTAACTGCTTTTAGCATCTTAAATGTGGAAAAACAGAGGGAGCCAGGAGGCTCCACTGAACAGCCATCACCCAAGCTTATGTGTTTACAAGTAGTCTGCCACTGTCCTCCTGCCTTTTCTTTCCACTGCACAATTCCCATCTGTCACCTGCTAGACTTGAGCAGGGAATATTTGTCCTGTAACTTTCTGTAGTGTCAGTCACACTAAATTGTTTCAAAGGCAATTGAAAAAATTCCATGAAACCAACTCTTTCTTACCAGCTATGTTGACTTTATAATGGGTAGTTTAACGATTTTAGTACTTCCTTGGGGACAGATGAGATTAGCCCTTGGTGGGGCAGGGTTTGATTTCTGTTGCCATGTCTTTCTTACACATCTTTAGGTAGAGTAAAGGTGGTTATATTTTTTGTTAAAGTTATTATTGGGCCTCTATACAGAACTGCTTTTAAAGCAGTGCATTAATTACGTAACAACAGAAACCAGAATAATAAACTGTATTCAGAACACAGTTCTGCTGTTTTTCATTATACATGTGTTGGGTGGAGGCAGATCCATGTGGTACTAATCTAAAATTAAAGCAAATCCCTCAATTATACTGGAGATGTAAAATTTATAGCAGTACCAATGGAATCACTCAGGACTCAAGAAAAGGGCCTAGTATCTAGGAAACACTGAGGTTATGTCTTGTGGTTGCAATACAAAATCTTTCTGTAAAACAGAAAGAAAAGTTCTAGGAGTGACAATACCACCCCCGTCACCTGCCCTTCAAGACCATGAATACAGCATAGCCTAGCGCTATTTGATTAGCCACCATCATGACCCAAAATATAATTTCTTTTCAACTTTTTACAGTACAAATACCATACTAGAAATTAGTAGGAGTAAATTGCTGTATTGCTGCTGCCCTGTTTTAAACTTTGCCCTGCAAATTATGTGCTAAGTGCCCATCGTCAGCCTCAGTGCCTCAGCTCATTAACACCCCTGTAGGGTCATGAGTAACTTCAAGTAGTTCCAGAAATGTAATTTAAAAGGATGGGGGGAGGAGTGTAGGAATCTTTGAAGCAGCAGCCTTTACCTAAGCAAAGTTTAGTGTGTGCTGCTCTGCCTTTTTCTTACATGTAAAGTGATAAGCAGGTGAAGAGAGCTGCCCATGGCCACCTTCAGCAGCTTTAATCTGAGATGCAGAAGCTTTCTGATGCACCATCAAAATATAAATAAATTGGTTTATCACATTCTCAGCTATTTTATTTTGCTAGTTTAGCCATAGACATCAGCAAGCCTTAAAAAAGTGCAACACTAGACATGTCAAGTCACCATTTCATAGACCTTGTGGAATCTCTGTCATGCATACATTGGGTTTCAGGCTGCCAGTGTGCTACATTCGGACTTCACAAAGCAAGCTTTTAGCCAGAACAGTTCCAGGAAAAAGGCACTGCCACCAGCCTGTGCTAACCTTCCGAAGGAAACTCCCCAACTCTGAACACCCCACTCATGTCCAGCTGTACCAAGCTACTGCAGCTTTTCTGCTTTCCAATTGTGAGTGGGGAAGCACCTCAGTTAGTAGCACAAAGTAGCCCTTGTAAGGGTGGACACAAGACTTTCTCACATAACCCACTCAAATCCTTACATACAGCCCCATAACGTAACGTATGAGCGAATGGCAGCATGTTACCAGTTTTACTGCTCTACTGGAACATTTGAGCCTTGAAAAAGTAGTCTGTGTATTATAGCCTCAGCTTACTCTTTCTCTTTGCTTTAGTTAATGACCACATTCTTCTCTTATCTTGGACTTACTTTTTTGGTCACATAAATTTCTGTCAGAGCCGAGTTTGATTTTTACTGAACTGGCCAGTTGGGTTTTTTTAAATGACTGGCCAGTAATTTTTATTTAACTGAAGTGCTTAAAAAAAAAAAAAAATGGTGTGGTGGTTCAACATCCTTCTCAGGTATCAGAACTGCACCTCTGCTGCCTCCACCTAGTTCACACCACTGTCCTCAGGGCCACCACAGCACTCAGAGGCAGTGACATGACATTTCAAAGTCCCGTAGGCAGCCACTAACAGAAAGCTGCAGTTTGCCAGCATCAGCTGCCTTTGCACAAACAGAATAACTAACTCATCACCGTGCCACTACTCAAAGCTGGAAACAGCAGTGTACTCACCAGGAAAGTGCTACTTTTCTTGTGTAACAGGAACAGGGCTTGACCCCAGCTGATGTGGTCTCAGGCCATTGCATGTGTTTGCATTTCTTTCTGTGTATTCAGTATATGCAGATTTATGAGAAGATTGATGTGTTTATATACATAGATTCCTGTAGGTCCAGTCACTGTCATACTCTGAGCATTCTGCATATTTACAGCAAGATGTCCACATCAGCAGTACGTTTATCATGCTCCCCGAGTATTTGTGTCACATCAGCAATGGTGAAGGCAGTGGTTTGGTAACTTCCCCACAGCAGGCTTTGCTGAGTGTTCAGTGAATTCCTACAGCCACTATCTCTTGGTTAAAGTGCTTTCATGTCTTTAAGGTATTGAGATACAGATTTAATACTCCTCTAGGGGTAAACACTCATGAGAATAATTGACTGAATTTAGCATCTAGAAAGAGGTACCAGGGAAAGATTTACACAGACCTGGGCAAAACTTTCCTTATGAAACTCCAAGTACAGGCAACACAGCTTTTGCTTCATCACAGATTAAAAAAAAATCATGTCCTCTGGCCTACAGCTGGCTCATGTCAAGGCCAAATTGAGTTTACACCTGTGACTTATAAGGTACTTTGCTTTTCCATTTGAGCTTTGAGTTTCATTTAAAACCTAAACCTTACTGTAAAATTCATTGACAAATCCTCACCTGCCAAAGATAAAACCCCCACCTCCAAATACCTTGTGTTACCATATCTATTCCCCATCTGCACTTGACAGAGCAGCATCTCAGTGCCGGTATCTCCATGGCAGAGCTCCACGCAGCACCAGTATGAAACTGAGTGGCACAAGAGTTAGCAAGAAGGGAGTTCCAGCTCTGTGTGCTGCCTTCACTTTGTACCTCTCATCACAGCTGGGGCCCACACTCTGAAGTGCCTGAGCTGTTGAAATCAGTGTGAGTTACATACCTGCATACCCGTAACACTCAGGACTCGGTCCTTGAATCCTTCAACCTCTACATACAGGTTCAAAAGTTCTCAGGAAAGGGGCAGTCCTGTACAGCTCCTGATACCATCCTCTCTGCTGCTGTCCTCTATACCACCTGCTTATAAAATCCACAAGAACCAGCACATATCCCCATGCACCCCAGCACCCCAAAACTAAAACCTTCACACAGAGCCAGTTTTAACCTGTAGGAGGCTGACCATAGCAAGCCAAAGTAATTAATTTCTACCTAGCTTATCTGTGTAGAAGCTTAGTCAGAGATTGAGCATGAGGTTTGGCTATTTTCACCTATAGCAATCCATTCTAGAAATGCCAT